TGAATCAGAAGAGTCACTACAAAATGATTCAGGCTTTATGTTGTGCTCAATTTCATTCTCTTCATCACCAAAATAAAATTCTGTACATAATTTTGTACATTAATCTTTTTGTACAAGTTATGTCGGATCCAATCCTAGTTGGGAATGACTGCAAAACACTTTCCCCCTCCCCAATTTATAGGCACCTACACACAAATGCATGCTGGAATTTCTTCCTAGCCAATAGGATAGGTCATTTGTTGGTTTCATATGACTCAGTCTCAATCTGTCTTGTCTTGAAGTCAGGATTCTACAATATTCTAACTTGCTCTTGTGTGTTAACCTTAATTCTTAGTTTATGAACTTTTTGCTATATTACCGTTGATTTGCCTTATTACTGTTGATTTGCCATATTATCGTTGATTTGCTTTATTACTGTTGATTGGCCTTGCATATACTGTTTGCTTGCTTTATATTATTTTTTGCCCTGTTCTTTTCTTTTTCTTGTTATTGCTTATTGCAAACTTTGTCAATTCTGTTTGTTGGACACTTCTGCCATTTATTTACATTTAACTATGGCCAGTTATCTTTTTCCTAAGCTAAACTGGAGGCACGGTGGAGTTATGGACAGCAGCTCGGCTTGAGGAATCAGAAAGCAGAGTTTGAATTCCAGTCAAGTTCATTAACCTCATTCATGTGCTAATGGGAAATGAATAAATCCAGTTTTTCCTCAGTTATGGTTAAATGGCAAGATAGACTAGGTCCTCGAGCCTTTGGTGGCAACTGATCTAAGAGAAGGACAACTCTGAATTCAAAACCGTTATGTAGCCCCAGCAAACCACATACTAAGCAGCCAAGGATCGTGGAGTTCACAGTGACTCTTTGATCCTAAATATAGTTGACCATCATTCATTCATGCAGAAATAGGAAAAACTCATTAGAAACAAAGAAAAGAGTGCTGAACTTTTTCTTATCATTTCAGGCAATAAAGTCAGAAAGATACAAGGGGTTACTGAGTGTGAGAGAATATGGGAAAAAAAATACTATTAAGGAGAGAGAACAATAAAAGAACAAGAATTAAGAAAACAAAAGATATCAATTGACATTGCATTTAAATTTTTAATGATAAAACTTTATTGGGAAGCAAGAAGCCAGAAGAGAGTTCCATAGGTGAGAAGTGTGAGAAAAGTAACCATTAGCATAGAACTTACGATTACATCTAGCTATTTCCACTGTAAAATGATGAGACCTTGCCGTCAATCTAGTACTGTGCTTAAATTCATAAAGTCTAGGTACTATAGAGGAAAGTTCATCAGGACAGTTACCATGGATATATTTATAGAAGAGGCAAATGGAAACAACATTATGGTGGTGTGAAATTGACTGAAGCTGGGATGCCAGGTCAGGACCAATAATATTGCAAATTTTTCTGCATTGTTTGTTTGAACAATGAATTTTCCAACTTGTTATCTCAGACCACAGTTTGGAAAATTCAACTTGTTGGAATACTGATCTTTCTACAAACAAATAATTTACCAATATACTTTTTGAATCAGGCAGCCTTTGGAAAGTAGGGAACGTAATTCTGAAACATGAAGAAAAGGGTGCAAATATGCACATTTCTTTGTGGTAAGAAACTTAGTATTCTGACTAGTACTCTAGTTGCTTCATTTCTGCACAAGAATAAGTATACAATCTGCTTAAATGGTTGCTTAAATTTTATATTGTGTTGTTCTACGACACCTGATTAGTAGCCAACTTCTTATTTTTCTCTTAGTTTAATATCATGATTTTCCAAGTGTAGCTTAGATGTGGCACAAGGTCGAAAGTAGGGGCCACCCAGTGAGGATCGAACTCACTACTTAGTTGTAACTGTTCTAACGAGACAAGCTTGCTAACCATTACACCACCTCAACGTGTCTCTCTTACTTTACTATACACTTTATATCTCTTTTACTTAACATAAGCAAATAGGTACAATCTTATTTACCAATTTATTACACCTTCCTGAACCAAAGAGGTTTAATGCCTTTGGTTATTCTCAAACTTCTTCTACGACGTCTTTCCTCCTCTCCCACCCCTTTGAGGTTTATGTCCTGTTCTTTATAATGGAGATCTTGATCTTATTTTATCCTCAATAGTCAAATCTTAACTTCCAAGTTTCTCAAATTTTACAGAATCTGTTAGCTTCTCTTCATCTGTGAAGATATTGCCTAAATGATTCATCTTTTTTTTTCTGTTTAATAAACAGAAATTCAGTTCTTTCCACTGTGACAAGTTTCTTTTTAGATCATAAACTTCTTTTTATAACTTCTGAAATTTCAACAAAAGTCAAATTCTCCAATTGTTTGGGGTATGCCATAAAAGAAATTTTTATTACAGATTCACAATCTGCCAAAGCTAGAAAGAGGTCAGTTATTTAATTCCCCCCTCTCTTGACTGGCCTGTAAAACACCGGATCTAAATCTAAACAAATTCTGATTCATCCAAGTGATTTAAACATCCTATTGGCAATATCATATTGTTTTATTATTTTTCTTCTGACACATGATCATTAGTCAACTTCCTTGCATGTTCCTTAGTTTACTATAAATTTTATTTTTCTTCTACTTAACATATGCAAATAGGTACAATCTTATTTACCAATCCTCTACAATAAACTTCAGTGTAAGAAATAGAAAAAAAGAATTCAACGTAAGTAAACTCGTAGAATCAATAGAATTGTTGACTGTACTATAAAATAAAGCATTTAGAAACTATTTCTGTTTAATATTATACTTGTCTTTTTTATTTTATTTTATTATTTTTTCAGTTGCTTAAGCTACACTGACATCAGTAGTGGAGTGCATTTGCTTATAAACAAGTACCTTATTAAAAGTTGTTTTTAAATATTATGTAATTGCATATAAATCTTGGTTTATTAGTCAGCCTCAACTTTCTCAATATGCTATTTCATACATTCTACAAAAGAACGCTAGAATGTGATTTATGCAAATATTGCAAAAAGGTATGTCTGATGAAGCGTCAAGTTGTACCTTGTCTTTTTTTTTTGATCACAATCAATGAGACAACCATGAAACTCCACACACAAAGCACCACAACCCACCTGATCTCACTGATGCTTATTTTATTGAGTGGCTGAGTCCTAGAAATTTGCATAAGCCACAAATTTGTCTTGCAAATTCTCAAAGCTAAGAGAACAAGTTTTTCTTAAATTGTAGCTTTTGGATCAGCCATGTTTTCTTCTGAGTATCTTGCACATCAGATATGTACAAGCACATTTTGTGTCAGGAGGGAAGAGGTTTTTCCTTTTACAATGCAAATACTGCAAGGCAATTCTTAAAAGACAGATACTGTGCTGAAGACTGAAGTGAAAGAATAATATGTGATAGTGTTTATACAAGATAAAGTTAAACGTTCCTAAAGTATTAAGAAACAGAGATAAATAATCAGACAAGGAAGATTATTTAAATGAAAGCATCTATAAACTTATAATAAATTAAATTACTAGATTAAAACTGACATTTTCCTTGTAAATAGACTAGAATTTTAGAGATAAGGAATTATTGTTATTTATCTTCAATGTGCCATATTTCTTCAAGGCATTGACAACTGTGGCTCTCCAAAATTCATTGTTTTTTATAGCTCTTAATAAATCCTGTCTTTTTGACATCACCCCAAAACCCTGTTCGGCCATCCAGTTATTCATGCTCACTAGGTAGGTTATGCATTGTTTTCCTCTCTCCCTCTTGCTTTCAATCTGTCCTGTGAGTATCAAGTTTTTTAAGCCTTCTTTCCTCCTTATGAGCTCTTGAAACTTCATCTGTCTCTTCCTGATGTTAATTATAAATGCTTTTTTTGTTTCCATTTTCTCTAAAACTTTGTTGTTGCTCACATGTTCAGTCCACGGTATTCTCAGCATCCTTCTGTAGAATCACATTTCTGCTACTTCAAGTCTCTTCTTCATAATGTGAAGAGATTGTCCAGCATTCACTCTCATATAGAAGGACTGATATTACATATACCTTATTATTCAGACCAACATGTGCATTCTGATTGTTATACAAAGATGGCAACATAAACGTAAGGAAGGTGGGAGGATACAACAGCCGAAATGTTGTGATACCATTCGTTGTGAAATTGTGACGAGTTTTGTGACAACGTTCTCCGATCGTTTGTTGCTCACTGCACCTGTGATGATATCCAAGGTTGAGTGTATTTGCATATAAAACTGACTCGCTATGTGCATAGGTTTGTCTTCTTGGCCATGATCGCTTTCAACAAAAAAAAAAAGAATGAAGACAATAGTTTTTCAAGACTTTCTGGTTGGGAAGTAACAACAATATGATTTCTCACATTGAATCCTTCCTTCAGCTTCAAGAGGGGTGGGCTGCTATCTTCTTAAATTCACTGGCCTCAGCAATTCCTGATTCACTTTGTCACTGGCTACTGGCAGCTTTAACTCCTCTGGTCACCTACCTACTTCTCTCACAGCTGGACTCACTTTCCCCCAACTTCCTTCTGCTTATATGCATAATCCTGGGGTCCCACCACCTCCATCTATTTGTCTTTCTGGAAGATTTGGGACCACCCCCAAAGCTACATGGGTGGTCAAACCTTCAAAGGACTACTTTTATAACTATCTAAAATCGTTTATAAAATTTTTGTGTTTCCCAATTCAAAGACAAACTGGAGACATAGATCCTAAAACACCAACCCCTAAGTTCACTCAAGATGGACTGAAGACAAAATTCCTACGAAACTCCAATAGCTGAGTGGACTTAAAAGGAAGAAATTTATCTTATCTTATCCTTATCTTCTACAAATGTCTGAGAAATCATTGTTACAGTTGCATGCTGGTTGGAATAATAATGAATATAATTGTTTTACATTTTGTACACCATTGCAAGTATTTGTTTTTGTTTTTTTTTTTCATTTTAGAAGAAAATTATTAAATCATTTGAAGTAATTAATTAACATGTCTTAATTTACAAAATTAGGGAGAAAAACTGCATCCTTACCCCAGCTGCAAAGCCCAAGCTTCCATCAAGTATTTTCCTCTGTAAAAACAAAATGCAAATTCTATTAAAATGACAAGATAGTTAACACACAAAAAAGCAAAAAAAAAAAACAATACATACGAGGGTCATTTAAAAAGTTCTAAGCCTCACCCAGAAACAAGAGCCATAACTGAACATTTTTTTTGTTGTTGTGGCAATATACTACCACTTCTTATAAAACTAGAAAAACTAATTCAGATTTGTGTCTTAATTTCTCTACAGGTGAAGTCTGAACAAAAGGTGTGACAAATCTAAAAATGGACAAAAAAGAAGCCCGAGCAATTATAAAGTATCTGCAAAAGAAAGATATAGCACTCAAAGAAATCCATGAGGACATGGTACAGCCACATGGTGTGGACCCCACTTCCTATGCAACTGTGAAAAAGTGGACTGCAGAATTCAAACAGGGCAGGGACAACACAAAAGATCACACACACACATATATATATATATATATATATATATATATATATATATATATACACACACCCATACACATTTTATTTATTCAAAATTATAACATAAACATGTTATAAAATCACTACAAAAATAGCCATTTTGTTTCAACATTTCTGGTGTTTTCTCAAATGATGGTGTTGAATGTAGAATAAAGAGTTTTTTTGTAGTGATTTTATAACATGTTTATCTGATAATTTTTAAATAAATAATATTTGCTCTACTCTGTATCGAACACCATCTACACCAATCCTTTATATATATATATATATATAAGCAGGCATTTTGACTAAATTGAAGCATGAATTTAGTCAAAAGGCCTATAAATAGTTATCATATATATATATCATCAATCTTATTGCCAATATTGTTATCATTTTGTTGTCTTTTTATTCCTCCAATTTCATTAAGTGGCCTATTAAATCTACATATAAGAAGCACACGTGGGCCATCTTTTGTTTTAATTATATATATATATATATATATATATATATATATATATATATATATATATATATACTTATTATAAAACCCAGGTTGTGTGTGTGTGTGTGTGTTTGTATGTTTATATATTGGATCGGATTACCTACATTTTTCAACTGATTTCAACAAAACTTCACAGGACTACATAAAATTACCTTGCAGTGGTTCTGACAGTGCCAAAAATTAGAAAAACACAATTGTTTTTGCACAAAATCAATTTGAAAACATGATTGAGAGGCATGGCGAGAATGAAAGGGGGACAACTCATATCGAGTTTTACTTATTATAAAACCCAGGTTGTTTGTGTGTGTTTGTTTATATATGGGATCAGATTTCACACATTTTTCAACCGATTTCAACAAAACTTCAATTTTTTTTTTTGGCATGTAATGTTTCTTATTGTCTTGCACACTTTTTTCTTTATTTTTACATTCAGAATGCTTTAAAAATTCCATTTACAAGGCAATTGTTTATAATAAAATTCTATTCAATCGGTAGACTCATAACAATTGAAAACAATATTTTTGTTTGAGTTTGGGTTTGACCAATTCAAAAAAAAAAAAAAAAAAAACTAATTAAAACATGTGTGTCCGTCAACCTTAAACAATAATCTTTGTCAATTTTATTTTTCAGTCTTTATGATGGTCGATACTTGATCTATCTCTTACTGTTACATCCCCAGGCAATGCCGGGCTCTACTGCTAATATATATATATATATATTATAGCGCAGCTCTTTTGACTACACTGTTTTACAGCTCAGAATCGTGGACACCGTATAGGCCCCACATCAATCAGCTGCATGTCTCCATGTGATCTGTGGCCATCCAATGCTGATCTTCTTGCAAAATGCAACATTGGTGGAATTGAGACTTTCCTGATGCAGCCACAACTTCACTGGGCTGATCATGTTGCAAGAGTTGAACGACAACAGAATACCTAATTGTCAAATTGAATGCAGACAAAGAAGTGTTGAACGGCTGTGGCTCAGGTATAAAGACAAGCTAAAGAGTAACCCCCAAGCTGTCAATATGCCACATACTAACTTTGAGTAAATTGCCCTTGATAGAAATAACTGGAGATATTTGTACCAGAAGGTATTTGAAATCAATTGTACTGACCGGCTAAGAGACAAAAGACAACAGTAAAAAGCAACAGCAAATATTCCTGCTGCTATGTCCAGAGATCCTTGCTTGTGGGCTTGTATGCAGGTCACTAGCAGGACTGAAATGTCACATATGACACAAACATAAAAAGTGAATGAGGTTGTCAGATCTTAATACATTGAAATCAACAGGAGAGTCAATCATATACATATCTGTGAGTGTACATGCATGTTTAGATTAAAATAAAATGGAATTTCATTTCGTTAAGTGCATAAAGTAAATGAAAATTTAAAGATTTATCTGATAGTAAAAATAGTAAATTTTTTAGAAATGATTTCCCACTTTTACAAGCGGTAAGTCAGACAAATTTTTGGCAAAGTATAGGTGCTTGTTTAGGTATATGATAGATTTGGGTTGGGTACATGTGTAGGTTTAGTTAATGAGTTAGTAATGATATGGAATTAGTAATTTAAAATGAATGAAACATTTGGATTGAACTCTACAAATAAAGAGACCAGCTTACCGAGTTAGGAATCCAGAGGAAGTTAACTTGAATCAAAACTGGAGAAAGTAAAAAAACTCCAGTATATAGGAAGGGGCATGAAAAGCCTTTTTTTGTTGGGTGATGCTGACTGACGGATTTCAGTAAGAATGGTCAAACTCTTAGTCAGATGCTTTTATGATTTTGCAATGTTGAGGTGCATAGCACGATGCTTTCAAGGACACAGCAACCCCGGCCTGATTTGTAGTCAGGTTGGGGTTGCTGCTTGAGTCAAGATGATGCAAAACCCGTAACCGGCAATGAGGACAGTACCTCACTGAAGACCACCCTTGGTGCATTAAAAATGTATTATACAACTATATATATATATATATATATATATATATATATATATATGTATGTGTGTATGTATGTATGTATGTGTGTGTGGTCTAAAGTAAAATTATAGCTTAGAAATTGCCTTTTTGAATTTTACAAATTTTTTTTCAAATAGCCTAAATGCTTACTTTGTTCATCCAAGCTGAATTAAAACTGGATTTGTTTTTAATTTGATATGTACATAGTATATAAAATACAAACAAAACACCTATTCTTCTTAAATAATTAATTACTGTACAAAACTACATAAAAGCTTTCATGAAGTTATATCAGTTTTCAGTTTTGTACTTAAACTTGATATTGAAACATTGAGGTTCAAAATATTAATATCTTGAAACGAAAGTAGTGTTCAATGTTTCACTTTATTTTGAATCACAAATATAGTGGTGATTAAAGATATGCTTAATCATTAATATACCCTCCTTCCCTTTCAATAACCTGATTACATTTATTAAAAAGTTTTTTGACAGAATATTTGTAAAATTCCTTTAATTTTTGATCTGAATTCAGAGAGAGTCTAACCGATTTTCAAGTTCTCTTCTTTCAAAGTGTGTCTTTAACAAAACTATTTCAATAGACAAACTCCTAAACAAATAATGGTCAGTAAGGGCAAGGTTGGGAGAGTATGATGGTTTTATGAAATCTCTGGCCACTTGAGCAGCAGAGGACTTTCCTTATCGTGATGAAGAATGACTACCTTCTTTGTTCATGAAGGAGGTTTTCTATTCAAAGCTGTTTTCAAATGTTAAAGGTGTTGGCAGTAGACTTCAGCTGTTACTGTGTGGCATATGTGTTCACATCCGAATGTTGCCAGTGTAGATAGGTAGTAGGATAATTATTTTATTGGAAACATAGGACATAAAAGGCACTGGCTCAAAGGTTTAAAATAAATATATTTTTTATTTATTTTCTTAAAGTGATGAGCGAGTCCTTTGGTATTCGGTATAGCTAAAAGTTCATTAATAAGACAGATATTCATAACACTCTGGAGAATTGTCCATTTGTGTTTGTTTTTAAGACCATGGTAGGGATAGTAGTAATCTCAGAAATTAGGTCAATGTCAATCTGCTGTGTTTTCTTGGCTCTTGGTTTGCAAGATCAAGATCACTGTTAAGAAAAAGAAAAGAAAGACAAGAGGAAGGACAGCAAAGTATGAGAGTAATCAGAAATAATAGTAGAAGAAACAAGGGTGTCCGGCCTCTTTGATTCAGGGAGATCTAGTATCATATGCAAATGTGAATGACAACATAAATAGAGAGCAGAGGGTGAACAAAGGCATTCATTAGTGAACCTGCTTGCTAAATGTAACGTGGAGAACTGTGCTACAACTAATTCTAATTCAAGAGAAATGGACAACATAATTACATTTCCCACATTGTTAGATTTCTGTACTTGTTTCATTCTGATGTCTACAATTGGTAACTTGCATCTTTGACTATACTTCTTGCTAATGACCATATATTGTCATTGATAGTCCTTTATTTTTGCTTTCCTTTACCAACTTGTCTAGTATTCGCAACAGTATTCTTTCCAATACTAATTTCAACTGTGTCTTTCTGATTTTGAGTAAAAGTGTCATTTTTTATTCAATTTTTCTTAAAACTACGATGCCCCAACCATGGTATTATCTTCTAACGTCTATAGAAACACATTTCTGTTGATGCAAGTCTCCTTTTCTTCTGTAAGGAAATTGTCCAGCATTTACTGCTATATAATAGCATCGATACCAGTGGCATAGAGTGTGTGCTGGCTAGGGTAGCCTTTGAGTCCACCACCCCAACAAAAAATATATATTGCACAGTGACTCATGTTAAACTCCTGTTGGATTCACCTTTTAAGTCTGGTCAACTTCACTACAAGATGGCTTCCTGCTTCTCTTTGGGTGGCTTTTATATATATATATATATATATATATATATATATATATATAAATATATATATATAAAATATATATATATAAAATATATATATATATATATATATATATATATATAAGTCAACACTTAGAGGCGACAGTCTGTTTCATGCTATATGCAATCGTCCAGGCCACGTGTGCTGTTATTTTTCTCGGCTATT